TGTACCATCGTTAATCACGTGATCATCATCAGAAAATCTTCCTCCAAGCTTGATAAGTAATCTTCTCATCGAGGCTTGGTGGTCAATTTGATGTTCTTGAGTACGTGAGTGTTGTATGGGCGCCGCCGCCGCTAGCACAGGCAACTCTGGCCAGTAAGGGCTTTGGTTGATGTTATCAGTTGGAACCATGGAATCCCCACACTAGCTGATCTCTTGAGAGCTCGATTTAAGCTGTTACCTCTACGAGACTGATGCTCTTTGCGTTGCTTACCGAGAAGCTTCTTCTTAGCCTCGTGTTCCAATAGTTCTTTATATCGTTATCAGTCCTCCCCGGTAATTGTGCAGCAATAATAGACCACCTATTAACAATCATGTAAGGTGTAATCTCTTAGACAAGAAAAAACGTTTGCTTAAAATGAATCAAACAAAACATAGGGTTTGTCTCTTTTGTTGACTTTAAGAATGGATTTCAGGATCAAAAATACCTGCTGCCAATACTGATATAGAGGCTGCAAATAATCCTATCTTCTTCTTCGGAGAACCCACCATGCCTAATATTGGGGCGGAGATAGTTTAACCATCTGAGGCGACAGCTTTTCCCACATCTCTAAGGCCTAAAGTACAAAAACAACCCTTTTAGAAACTCATCAAATCAGAGACCATAAAACAATTAGTTGGAAAAAGAAAGAAGAATCAAGCAAGCAGAGGTGATGGATGGGTTGTTTATCTTAAAATAATACCAATTTTCTGAGGCAAAGCGATCCAATTACCACCAGTACCATGCTGCTCGATGTATGCCTTGAGCTTGGCGTCTTCTTCAGGTGACCATGGGCCTTTCTTGACGTTAGCTTTGTCACAGCAAGGAGCTCTCCCCATGCTTTTACTTAGTATTCCTTTTTGAGCTTTTCTCTCTCCGTCCACTCAAGCAAGAATTATAGGAGAGAGAGAAAGAGGCAGGGGCTTTATAAAGCTGGAAAAGGATAAACATGTTTATCAGAAGATATATATATATATATATATATATATATATATATATATTTATATATGTATTTTTTTCAGAAGAAAATAAAAGTATGGCATAAAGAAAGACTTCGATATAAAAAATTAAAATGCTAGAACAGGATTCTAGGGTTTTTTCTACTTGTCTATCTTTGTCTAGAATGATACCAGTAATCAATGATTAATTTTATACATAAAAGCTGCTGCCTTTTTTAACCTATGGTATCTTTTATTGTCATAATTTGAAGAAATTTTTTTAGTGCTTCTTTTATTGTCATAATCCAAATTTAGGTTAAACTTTTGAACCTTTGAACCTTTGATTTTGGGATCAATTTAAATGTTCGTGAATTTTTCAGTCTAATTAAGAAAAAACTCCAGAAGAAAACGTGGAAATTGAGAACAAATGTCAAATTCTTTTTGGATGCAAAATTGCAAAGTCCATTTATGGGAATCTTATGCTGGATACATTTATATATTACATGATCCAGTGGTAAAATGCTGTAGAAAAATGTGGAGAATGTGATTGATATGCCGAAGCAATTGAAGGAACTTTCTTTCTTCTTCTTGGTAGGTCACCAAATTGTATAGTGACATGCATGCAGTGGATTTAGCAGAACTAAGCTGCTTGCCTGATTAATACGTATACTTGGTGAAGGCAACAACAGATAATGCCACACTTCCACCATCTCTATAAAAGACAATCAATTGTTCACTATTAATCTTGAGAAAAAAAAAAGAGAAATAATCAAACATGGTAGAAAATTAATTCAAACATATTTCATTCAGAGAATTACACAAATACAATAAACTCAACTCTATCGATAAACTGATCTAATTGAAAATAATTAAAGCATGAAAAACAAATTACAATTAAAAACAAACCTAGCACAATGATGAAGATGGGAGTGGTGAGAAAGAGGGTCAAGCGTCAACATCACACCTTGATTGACCTTTTTGATCGTTGGCTGTCGATATATGATACTATATAGGTTGGTTATTGCGAGACAGATATGCTATTCAGGTACTGGTGCAGTAATATTTGAAGGCAGCCAAACCCTTTATCACTTTCATTTTCTTTCCAATAAATAACTCTTAATTATATATGAAATCCAAAATCATATATAATGTAGGATGAAAAAAATCATCAAGACGTCATAAAATTACAGAACCCAAAGCGTTTTTTAAAGTATTACCAGAAGAATTTTTTTAAAAAAATGTGGAGATTGAGATGGAGAAGGAGAAGGTCAAATTAGTAGGTCACCATTAACCATCTTCTTTTCGTTGCAGCTTGAATGGACCTACAACTTTGTAAAAGTCAATCTTCCCTTTGACAATCTTGTTGTTTAGTACAGCTCAAGACAACTTTCTTCTCCAGGTTCTATTATATTTTCCCTGTTTGACAGCCATATATATTGTAAAATAACTTTTTTTTATTGTAAAAGAACCAGCACAAGCTGTTCCACATTTTCTGTTCACGGATTTTTTTCCACCCCTTTTCACATCACATCATTTTCATGTTAAATTCTGAGATTTTTTCCCTGCATTTTTGTTCTTGTTAGGACACCACTAACTCATTCGCCGAAGACTTTAAAAAGTAGTATTTGGACAAAAAATATGAAAAAGCCTTTTTGGTTGGAACTCATAGGGTAATCGGTGAAGATTTTGATGCATGTCTTGTTTGTATGGCGTCCGCCTTTGATGTTTTTATTCTGCTCCTTTTTGTTGTTCAAGATTTCCGTTACCTTTTTGGGTCTTGTTTGTCTGCTTTCTCTTGGCCCATGTGTTTGCGGACCTTTGGCCCGCTTTTGTTGCAATCCTTTTTCTTCTTCCTGACGAGAGCCTACTTTCACAATTGAAAAAAAAAACACACACACACACCCCACTCACCCTCCAAACGTCATAATTTCAAGGGATAATATTCTCACTGCACGAAATGTATGAGTTTACAACATAATTAATAGTCGGTGATCATCCTGTAACTTTTAATATTTGAGACACTCAACAAAACAACACCCTATAGTTAAAGAATCATTTTGTAACTTTTAAAGTAGTGTCATGTAGTTAGGGGACTATTTGAGTACTATAACCATGATTTTATTAATTTGATGAGTAGAGTTGTACGAGTCAAGGGCCGGTCAAGCTCAGCCTACTTGGTACGGCCCAAATATCTGCAAGTTGAGCCTGCTGCATCAATACCATCTTCCAAAGATAGTTATAGCATTTATATAAAGGCAGCCCAGAATAAACTGGGACTTATCAAGTAATTAAGGTATATATGAAGATTGAACTTCAGGAAATCTATTAATCCATCATCCTCCAACTATAATTTCCAATTTCCATGTTATTCATAAGCAGATTTCAATAGCCAGTTTTAAAATTCTGATGGAGCTGATGTAGTCCAACACATGATCGACAATTTTCTATTGTGAAGGTTGCCGATTTGTTTTCATTAATTTACGTAAATCGCGAATAGCTCTATGGTCCAGGCTGGAGGTTGGAACTCCGAAGATTAATTTACTTTTGCAGGTTTTGAAAGTGGGGTGTGAAGGTGGTATCCCTTTATGTCTTGAAAGTGTTAGAACATTTGCATGTAAATTTATATAGCATTTAATAGCCATAGCCATGGGCGACCTGCTTGGGCTGTGAAGATGGATTACTTGCTATGAACTGTACATAATGCTAGAAATATTATTACTTAGTTAAGTTGATCATGAAACCTACATTATTTTCAGGCACAAAGCAAGCAGATGTCATTGGCTCGTTGGAAAGATCTATGTTATCTGAGTTCTTTACTTCTTTGAAATCTGAAACCTATATATGAATATAATTTTCTAAATATGTAAATAACCTTTTAAGAGATTTAGTATGCTGTTTGTGGACATATATAGATTCACAAGGAAGCTAGATAATATAGACAAAACAGCAAAAGGTCGGGAGCAAGCAACTCCTCGTAGGTTGGTGTTGGACTGTTGTTGGTGTTCTAGATATAGTAAATAATATTGATTAATTCATGGGGTCATTCGGGTCCCAGCCCAGCTCACACTCTGTTCCTTGTGTTGGCATTTTACGTTGCAGGTGGACTTTTGGCCCAATCTCCTGCCGTTCTTCTAATGCTCTGCTGTGCCTGTAAAGGCCGTAAATCGTAATGCTGGTGTAATACTGCACTCAATAATGGAGAAGGTATCAGCAACAGTAATCAGCAACTATTAGAATTTCATTGTTTCTCGTAAGTACAATCAGCAGAAGTTCAGTGTTTGTTTGGAGTAACATTATTAGATTATTGAAGAGACTGGTCTATTGTGGTAATTCAGGATTAGAGTAAATTATGGGTTTCTGAATAAACAAAGGAAATTATGATATCTGAAAACAGAAATGAAACTTATAGGAGCACCGGAGAAAGTAGATTATGATTTTGCAAAGTAGATTAAAGAGTGGGTGTGACAGGACAGGAGTAAGTGTGTGATTGGGTGATTCCCAAGAGCGTGCGTGAGGTTTTGTTTGCAGTTGCAGGTAAAATATTGTGAAGTCAGCTCCATATCCTCTCTTTTACATACCCATTACCAAACCCAAAAATAGTATCCTCCTTGGGAAAATGGTAATACAATACGTGATGGCGAGTTGGAGTGGACAAATTGGAAAGGGATAAATGCTAAACCCAATAACATCTTTGAAATTACATAAATGATCGAATCATTTTTCCATAGACAACTCTCTATCATTTGGTATTGGTGTGATCTTCTTAGTTTTGCTGTTTTTGTTTTCAATTTCGTTCTTTTCCTTTGGCTCTACTGTGAATTCTTTTTGCTTTGCTTTTCTACCTCCCCTGCTACTGTTACTGCACTTATTTTGATGTATACATATATATTATTGGTAATATAGATTGGTTTCTTGGCTCATGAAACGAGGCTGATGTCCTTCCCTTTTCGCTTGAGGTCCTTCATTGCTGTGCTTTCAGAGATTTACAAGATAAAAATCAGACCATCTTACTACTCTGGTTGTGGAGGTGGCATTCAAGTCCTGAAAAACTCTGCTTGGGGACGCTTAAAGAAGAAAAAAAAATCAGATTCAGTTACCCTCTACACTGCCGACTATATTTAATTTCCCTGCTTTGGTTCTGTTAACTTCCACTGCTATAATACCCTTTCTCCATATCTCTCATCCTTTAAGGATTTGAAAAATTCACCCTTCTTTCTTTGAGGAAAAAGAAAAAGAAAATGAGCAGCCCTCCCAAGTATGTTTGCTGCCACAGAAATAGACATCTTATTATTTCCTTGCTGTTTCTGCTGGTTTCAAGCTTCACCCAAGTTACATTCATGGCTGCAGAAGGTAACTTTCTTCTTTCCTTGTCTAAATTTCACTCAACAGTCTCCCAATATCTCAATTTGGAAATAAGGAAATGAAAGAAAACCCACTTCATCTTTACACTTGCTTTCTTGTTATTCCAGGAAGGTCTCTTTCCAGGTTGCTCGAGGTTGCCCAGGTATCAAGATCGAAATCCCATTTCTTTCCCTGCTCATTTCTTAACATCCAATCAGAACTGACAGGGTCCAATAATGTTGTGTGAAACAGAAAGGATTTGAAAAAGAGAAGCAATTGGTGATGAGAAGTCTGATAGGGTCAAGGCCACCGAGGTGTGAGAGAAGGTGCAGTTCTTGCCCCAACTGTGAGGCAATACAAGTTCCTGTCACAACACTATCCAAAAACAGGAGAACCCGCCAATTCTCGGCTGCGTTCTTCTCGATTTCTTACACTAGAGGCAATGATATCTCAAACTACAAGCCCATAAGTTGGAAATGCAAGTGTGGCAACCTGGTTTACGACCCTTGATTGAAGTAAACTGTAAAAGTAAACTATTGTCCATTATAAAAGCCACCTCTTTTTTTCAACTGTGGATATAAGGAAAAAAAATGACCATCTATCCTTATATACTCGTTTTCATTCGCTCTCCTCTCTTGCATGGTAGAAGAGATATCAGGTTTGGGTTGCCATAATGTAAAGCGTTTCTACATTTTTTTCTTTCTTTGAGTTTGAGCTTCACTGCAACACTTTTTGCCCTTTATTTTATGAAATGTTTTGCCTTTTTTCCTGCAAAAGATTGTATCCTTCTTAAACATGGGACCTTTCAGTATGTGTTTTCTTTAGTTACAGTTAAAACATCAACAGATTAGGCTTTTTTACCCCACTGACACCGTTTATTTTTATTTTTACTTTTCTAACACCGTTCGACCAATATTTTCAAAACTAACACCCTTTCTGCTGAGTTGGCAAAGGCGCGTCCCCGGGGACGCGCTTTACCCGTGTTTTCGCTGAGTTGGATGCCATGTGTGAAAGGCGCGTCCCCGGGGACGCGCCTTTGCCATATCAGCAGACACGTGTGGAAGGCGCATCCCCGGAGACGCGCCTTCCATTAAATGTCATAAATGCCCCCATCAGTTTTTCCTAACTACCCCTCCTCCTCCCCTATATAACTCCCTCAACCCTCACTCATTCTTCACACCAAAATCATCTTCTCCTCTCTATATAACTCAAATTCTCCAACTATTTGAGTTTTAAATTTGTTATTAGTGGTAAGAAATTTATTTTTATGTTAGTATTTTTTTAAATAGTTATTATTTTTTATATAAATATTTATGTAAATATTATTTTTTATTAAAATAATATTTATATAATTATTATTTATTTAGAATTATTAATTTTTTGCTAATTATATTGTTTTGTCTACAGTTATAATGGAAAACGAAATGCTGTTGCGATTGGATATTGATCATATCTCCAGACATTTTAGCGATATGGTAATATTTTTTATAATTAATGTTAATATTTAAATTTATTTTTATTTTAAAGTTATTATGAATTTATATTAATTTTTACTTTTTATAATATATATTATTTAGGATGCTGATCGTATTTTAGAAACTTTTATTAAAAATCCACGTATACCGACACCGGAACGTATTTTGCCATATTTGGCTTCTGCTGGGTTCGGGTATATTGCAACAATTATAGGCGGTTGCAAACTCGAACCTGTCCTAATTTCTGCACTGATTGAGAGGTGGAGGCCCGAGACACACACTTTTCACCTTCCATGTGGAGAGGCAACAATTACATTGGAGGATGTCTCTATGCATCTAGGTCTTCCCGTCGACGGAAATATGATATGTGGTATGGCGGATGGTGATTGGCAATCAATGTGCATTGATTATCTTGGAGCTGCTCCGCCAGAGTTTAATGGAGGTAGAATAGCTTTATCTTGGTTGAAAGCTAATTTTGAGGTTTTAAATGAAAATGCTTCAGAGGATCAAGCAAAGGCATGTGCTCGGGCATATATTCTACGAATAATTGGAGGAATATTGATGCCCGACAAATCTCGCAACCAGGTGCATTGTATGTGGTTGCGGCATCTGATCGATTTTGATGAAGCTGGAAGATAGTTGGGGTGCTGCAGTTTTGGCATTTCTCTTTAGAGAAATGTGTCGGGCGACGAATTATAAGAAAACTGCTATCGGTGGATGTCTTCTGCTTCTACAATCATGGGCGTGGTTCCGCATGCCTTTCTTATGCCCGATCGTGAATGAACCATACGTATTCCCCTTATTGTTGAGGTAATTTTCGAACTAAATTTTGATTTAAATATTTTTAATTAAATAGGGTGATATTTAGTTTATATTATATTTCATAGGTGGTCGATGAAAAGAAAGGACCATAAAAGTATACCTACTGTTTTAGAGGAAATTCGTTTACTTATTGATACGAAAGCTGGGTCTGAGGTATGTTTTTAAATTTGTTTAATTATTAATATTTTAATTTAAAATGTTAGATATAATTAGAATATTTTATTTATTTGAATTGTATATTTATATTTCAGTTTCAGTGGATACCTTATGCGAGCGATGAAGTGAAAGCTTGCATCCCACCCCACCTTAGAGGGTCATTAGAGGTATGGATATCGGTTATACCTCTTATATGTTATGCTATTATTGAGTGGCATCCAGTTGATCGCGTGCTCCGTCAGTATGGTTGTACGCAATATATTCCTGGAGCTCCTAGAAATTTAGACGACGTGCATAACATAGATAGACGGGGAAAGAAAGATGTTAACTGGGTGGTGAGACACAGAGATTGGATTGCGCTTTGGGAGAACCGATATACACTGTTGGCCCCTCGACAATATTACGCTGAAACTGGTCATATGGTTACGGATAACTATATGGACTGGTTTAATGAAAATGGGAAGCCGTTTCTACTTTCGGCGGAAGCACGAGGGGTTAACATTCCTAGGCGCCGAGAAAGACGTCAACCGTCTCAATATCATCGTCCCCCGACGCGTGGACGGAGAGAATGCGCTACCAGTTCTGCATCAGTCCCACCACAACATCCTTATTCGTCGATGCCGCAGGGGTACATGCCCAGCCCTCCACTTCATATGCCAAGCCCACCAGTTTATATGCCATCTCCGCAGTTATATTCCGAGCCCGCAGGGTTACATTCCTAGCCCGCCAGGTTACATGCCTAGCCCGCCAGGTTACATGCCTAGCCCGCAGGGTTTTATACCATATGGAGGTGCATATACGACTATGTTTAATGATCTAGCATATGCTTCATATGCATCTTATTTGGCTGGTGGTGCTTCTCCGCAGACACCTCAATCTTCATCTGGATCACATACATCGATGCCAATGTTTCCACAGTTTCCACAGTTCCCGGGGAGCGGTGGGATTGTTACTAGCACTCCTCCAGGGTCGTTATTTTATACAGGCCCTTCAGCCCCTTCAGCGTCATCTGCACCAAATGAAGAAAATGCTGCTGATGATGATAGTGAAGATGAGGAGACTGAAGAACAAGTTCCACGAAGAAATCCTCCACGAAATAGGCAACCACCGCCATGTGGAACTCATTCGAGACGACGACATCGGTGATCCAGTTATATTTAATGTTATTTAAATAATTAAATTTCAGAATTTTATGTAATTTGGTTATGTTATTTAAATGTTTCATGGTTGTTACATACATATTTTTTTATGTTATTTTTTATTCACATTTAACATTAAATGTTTGATAAATGTTTTTAAAATACAAATTATATTATTCGAAATTTAAAATAAAAATAATATTATTCAAATTTAAATTTAAAATATAAATTATAGTATTCGAAATTTAACATTAAATTTCAACTTAATATTCCAATTGTATTCGAAATTAAAAGTTATATTCCAATTATAGTTCACAATACTTAAATTGAAATTAAAGGACTCCATACATATGATTTTATCATTAACAAACTATATTAAAACGTATACATTAAAATCAACTTATGTTGAGTTCATCGATCGACGGAATCAACCAAGAGGGGGGTGAATTGGCAATTTATTCAATGTCACATTTCAATGCTCATTCCATACAATTTCAATGTCACAATCAACTTATCACTTCACATTTATTCAATTTATCAATAACATTTTATCTAATTTATTCAAACTTCACATAACGTTTTAATTTAAGTTATTCTTAACTTGTTGAACATTCAAAAGAAGTTAAATTTAAGTTATTCCCCGAGGGACATGAGTGACATAATAGGGCAATGATAATATTCTCTGACGAAATAATGGAAGGCGCGCCCCCGGGAACGCGCCTTCACGTGAATAGTGAAATAATAGGTACTGATATATCTAGTGTCCCCGAGGGACATGAATGACATAATAGGGCAATGATAATATTCTCTGACGAAATAATGGAAGGCGCGCCCCTGGGAACGCGCCTTCACGTGAATAGTGAACCGATTGGTACTGATATATCTAGTGTCCCCGAGGGACATGAATGACATAATAGGGCAATGATAATATTCTCTGACGAAATAATGGAAGGCGCGCCCCCGGGAACGCGCCTTCACGTGAATAGTGAACCGATTGGTACTGATATATCTAGTGTCCCCGAGGGACATGAATGACATAATAGGGCAATGATAATATTCTCTGACGAAATAATGGAAGGCGCGCCCCGGGAACGCGCCTTCACGTGAATAGTGAACCGATTATAGAAACTATTATATGCAACGTATTATAAACTTTCAAAACAAACTTCAGTTCACAATCTTTCAAATTCCCAAACTCTAAATTCTCAAATTCTCTGAAAATGAGTCGTCTTTCTGCTGTTGTTTTGTATGATGGAGAAATTAAGGAAGCTGAAGAGGGGGTTGTTTTTGAGTCAGATCATTATATCCCCTTAACCTTGAAGAGAAACATCACAATTGAGGAGTTAATCACAAAAATTTCGTTAAAGATTCGTGTAGCAGGCCAGAGAAGACTATCTTCACTTCAATACAGATTTCCTACTGAACTTTTTCCGCTCACGTATACATCATTTCAGCTTTCAAACGATGATGATGTTTCTATGATGGTTGATGCTCATATGGGGAGTTCACAATCTCTTATTGAAATGTATGCCACTTTTATTGAGGTTCGTGTAACTCGTGGTCTCTCATATTCCTCTCACTTTGGCATTGCATATCAAACTGATCAAGTTGATAGCCCGACACAACTTATCTGTAATGATTTCACATCATTAATGGCGGATCCAACGCCATATACCATGCCATCAAGTTCAATAGGAAGGCATTCATCTGCAACTGCTTATGATCTCAACCCACGTGGCTTCACCAATAATCCATATGGCAACATCTCTTCTACTTCAAGGGGCAGACATTCATCTGCCAATGTTTTCGACTTACATATGGAAATGCCAACGAGACGACAGTCTATTCACATCCCACATGATATAATGGCCTCAAGTTCAAGGGGAGGACACGCAAGCAGGAACTTATTTGACCTCAACATTGGATTA